TATACTAGATATCCTAGAGATTGGAACAAAATACTCCTGCAAATAACACATAAAAGATGAGGATGAGGGGGAATAAATAGTCTATATAAAATGTTGTGCTTTTTAGAACTCAAATTACCATTCTGTTTTTTAAAATGTGTTTTTCCTTCTCAGTTGCAGCCAGAATTGTCATTTTCTTTCTGTTTTAATAGCTTAGTTTTAAAATGTATGTGTGCATAATGATGATGTATACATATATGTATATTGCATTAGATGACTTTCCACCTCAGAGAATATTAACGTCTATTTCCCCTGGAAGACTGGTTGTCTTGCAGCTCTGTCACAGACTGGCTTGTAGGAGTTTCTCTATATGTGTGAGAGGCTTCATGGATACAGCAAAATGCTAAAGGACCTTACTTCCCTAATTCGATTAAAATCACTATGCACCCCTTATCTGATCAAATGGTAGAAGCGAATTGACTGGAATTAACTATTCTAAAAAGAGTAGGTTGGAAACCAGAGATTGAGTTTGGTTGGAAATTAACAGCTGAGAGATGAAGGTGCCAGGATTTTTATTTAAATGTGGTACAACAAGATTCTGTCAGTAAAGCGCATCATTAGAATATTGAGTTTAGAGCTGCTAATTTTTCCTTCAAAATGAACATACAGTCATGTGTTTCATGGACCATAATAAATTGCCATTGTGTTGTCATTGAGTTTGTTTTCCTTTTTCCGTACTAGTTTGGCAGTCGCTCTGCATTTTCTCCTTTCCTTTTTTTTTTTTTTTGGTCTCACAGTTCCTTACTAGAGCCCTAACTATAGCCAGTCAAAGAAGCATGCTATTTATTTCAGTCTTAGGGTTAGCATCGTTTGCGTCACTTTCTTGCTTACGGTAGCAAGACATTTGCAGATGGTTCTTGGTTACTGTAAAGTACATAACAGTATTTCCTTTGTGGCAGATGGATTTAAGACTTTTAGTTCTCAATAAATGTAGGTTTACAATACATAACTTTACAGGATTTGTGTTGTATATAACAGGTTTGAACATATTATCTCAGAATTCATCTGCATGGCATTTTCAGCTTATTCAGGGTCCATGCCAGTTTTTTTAAGTAATAGAGAGAGGGCTGTGATTGATAGCAACAGCTCAAGGCGTGATTTTGAATAAAAACAAAGGGTTTAGAACAGAAGGTGTCAAATTAAACTTTGTCAGTTTGAAAAGTAGTAACATCCTGAAAGTTTTACTAATTTATTTACATGTGGCTACTGTTTATATTTTGCCCTCTTTATATGCAGTGTAACATTGCTTGGCAAATTCACTACACTTAAACCTTAGGTTGTTCCTTGTACCATTTTAGTTTTCTGAGAATGGTCTTGTTATTTTAAGGCTATTCAAGACAGTTCAAGACAGTCGTGATGTAATTTAATTTTCAAAGTAGTTCCCTACTCTTCCTGCGTGTGATTTTAAAGTACATCAAGTCCCAGTGACTTCTCTTAAAAATAATGATGTTCACATTTTGTAGCAAAGTACGTATTTCACTCCCCATAGTTCTTATCCCAAGTAAATCTATAGTTACCCTTTTAACTCTGGCACGGTGCTTTGGGGAATTACTTTTATTGGTTAGATACTGCAGATGTTCTGACCTCTGCATTGTCTTTCTGAGTTTATTTGCTTTAAAGATACTTACAGAAAATTGACTTAAAAGATAATGGGGAATTAGCATTTGGTATTTTTAGTCATTTCCTGTATATCAGAGTAATTACTTATCATCATTAATAGTCACAATTGGTAGGATTTGAAATAGACAATTGCAAGGTGCTTAGTATTAAACTGAAGTACTCTTTTGCCAGTGCAAATTGGGAATGAAACAGTTTATTCCAAGCTGACAAAGAACTAATGTGTGAAAATACTTGTTCTCCGTTATTTCTAAAGAGATATGCCTATCAAGCCAAGCACCCCCATCCCGACTTTGGTTTTTTGAAATATCCTTGTAGAACTAACAGTTCCCAGCTGCACCGTTAAAATTTTTTTCTAAGAAGCATCTGATTTCAGTCTCTTAAAATCATCGTATCTCTTGAAAGACTAGCAGAGACATGCTTCAACTTGTAATTCATCAAATTATTTTTAGATAAGGAATTAGAAGTATTATTTAAGGGCAGAGGTTAATAGCAAGCTACTGAAAATGTTATGTTAGTCATGGGCAATTAATAAAAATAAGAATTTGTCTTATAAGTATAGAGATGCAAAAGTGACAATATAAGCAAAATATTTGTCGAATGAGTCAGGGCTCTTTTTCTGAAATATTTGTTAAACCAGCATGAGTATGATTGTTTAGGAATTAGCTGTCATTATTAACCATTTTAAAAGAACTAATGATTTTCTTTTCCAAAGAACATCTGTGATCCACATGTTTTTTCACATACATCCAAGTGTTAACTGGTCTCTACATTACTTTTAAAATTCTCTAAAGGATGTGAAAAAATTATTAAAAATTTTCAGTTCTCTCCACGAAGCTTTTCTTATGTGAATCGTTCTTCATTTAACTTTTAACAATTTTTAGTTACAACCATTTATTTCTAAAAAAAATTTTGTAGAAGCTCAATGTTTAGCATTTATTGCAATAGTAGAATACCAAATAAGTTTAAAAATCCTTTCTGCTCTGTACTTGATGAACCTTCTAACTTCTCTTGAAACATAAATAAAATTACATGATTTGCTGTGTTGTGGCATATAGGAATTCCATCAGTTGTCACAGCCAAAGGATGCAGAGAAGGGGGAAAGAGAAAGTACCCTTTACCACCGTTAATATTCAAGTCTACAGGAAGAGCTGTATCTAAAACCTGCACAGCAATAAAATTTAGAAGTATAACAAAATAGCCTAGATGTATGAAAATATATTTTCATTGCTTAATCCAGATAGCAAATATTTACCCATAAAAGCTAAATAAATGTCTCCAGGGCACCATATGCAGGTGCTTCAAATATTCAAATACTATTAAGTAGATAATGCTATTTTCACATAAATTGAGTTTATTTACAATTTTCTGGGGATAAGCATAGAATTGCTGTGGTTAGAAGAGAAGCCTGCTAGATGACATTGTCATCACAATGATTAAAAGCAATTTTTTTATTTAGCTGATATTGTTTCAGAAAAATCTTAATTTTATGGCCTGCTCTCTTCACCTTAAATAGTACTTTCAGTGGCATTGAATGAATGCGTTATGATATGACCATGCCCATATATGTATTTAATTAAAAGACTTGTTGATTGGAGTCTCATAACACTCTTAGAAAAATTAGTAGATCTCCTAAGTTTTAGCAGCAGTTTCTATTAGCTGGTTAGCAGTTGGGAATGTTTTGTGTCAGTCTCCATGTTTTCTTTTATAATCTCTCAACTTTGCCATTTTGTGGAGAACAGACCTGGATTTTTTTCATTGTCTATACAATCAGAAGAATATTCTAGTGGTTCCTTTGGAGGAAGAAAGAAAATTCATGTCATTCTTTGGTCTCATCACCCAGTAATTAATATTTAAATAAATTATATCTATATATATTATATATATTATATATAAATATATATATCTATAGATATATACATTAGATCTTAAGATGATACAGTTGAAGACACTAACTACTCTGTCTATTCACATCAAATTAACTTACTGCAATGTCCAAGAAAACTCTTTATCTTAGGTCAGGTTCCCTAAGATCAGACCCCTGGATAGGGAATTCGGTCCTTATGATTTGATGAGGGAGAAAGGATCACGAGAAGGAGAATACAGTCAGATGAGTACAGCCAGTAAGAATACAGCCTGAGATGAAGACTAGGTCTAGAATGATGGGGAAGGAAGCGAAAGAACGATGGGGTGACTATCTCTAGAGACCGACCTGCAGACAGAGTGAGTTGCTCACTTAGGATGGTTGTACACTAGGGCTAGCCTTCACTGACCATGCTGGGATTAGGGAAGGGAACCCAGGAAGAAGCAGAGCAGCTTCCGAGTGGTCTGTAGGGAAGGCAGCCCTGTGATATTTTTCCATAGCAGAGCACAGCTCATAGCTGTTAGCAGGAAGCACACCAACCAAGGGGTGACTGCCTTGGCCAGTGAATACCTGGATGGGAAACCTTCCTTTTTCTTCTGGACTGTGTGTGTCCGTCATGGCAACCGGAATGAAGGTTTGAGAGGGTGTCTGAAAAATATGCTTCCTTGATCACTCAGTTGTCAAGAATCCTAGGATCACAATTTGGGGCTTAGGATGTTTTAGAGAGGTTCAGATTTGGCATTCATTGGACATTTCCTTCTCTTTTAACCCAGGAAACCTATTAAAATTCTTACCTCATAAATCCTGTGCTCATTTTGCAGCAAGCAAAAAAGCCGAACTCCCAAGTTTTCTTTTGAAAACTCTTCCTTGGAGATGATTTTTAAATTTAGTTGATATTCATTCAGGTAAATGGCCATTCTTCCGATGCTTCTGATGATTGTGTTGCCTAAACAGAACATTGTTTTTGCTCACACCATTGCACATGTCCCTCTTCCTCTTACACACACACACACACACTATAAATGCAAGTTTTCATGCAGTTCTTTTTTTCTGTTGCAAAAAGTATACAATTAGAAAAGCCTTTTAGAAAAGTTTGTTTCTACAGTCTGTTCTACCTCTTATATACCTTCTGTGTTCTTATGTGGCCACCATCAGAGAAGAAAGTTTGGCACAAGTAAAAGTACACGTCTTTGCTCTTCTCCTGTTCCACATCCGTGGTTAGTATTCTCATATCTGGAGTATGAAAAACAATGTTTTTCCTTCAGGGTATAAATCAGCACACTCAGACATGCTGCCTGCTTTCTAGACAGCCATTGCTCTCCTTTCTAACAGATTAAAAGAAAAACTTTTAACGCAAATTGGAATGTTGTAAGCATACAGAAAAGTTAACTTAGAGGGGCTTTCCTGCTTAGCTCCTAGGGAACAATGCCAGCCCCAACCTCATAAACATGGACTGACCTATCATCCCTTTATCCCAAAGGGATGGTTGTGTGAGCTGTTACGCTGGAAAGAAGATCCTTCTCCTGAAAACAGGACCCTGTGGGAGAACCTGTCCATGATCCGGAGGTTCCTCAGTCTTCCTCAGCCAGAGCGGGACGCCATTTATGAACAGGAAAGCAATGCTGTGCATCACCATGGTGACAGGCCGCCCCACATCATCCATGTTCCAGCGGAGCAGCTTCAGGTTGGTTTACCCTGGCCAACTCAATAAATGTAGCACTAAGTAGATAAAGTTTTCAACTTAGCGGGAAGTTAGCGTTTCTCTCCTTCCCACCAGGCTAAAAGTAGGCTTTTTAGTGAAAGGTAACAATGTGCTACCATCTTGCTCAGGGGAATAAAAGGAAAATCAACATACCTTTCGCAGCATGAGTACTGTGTGTTTTTCCCCAGCCCTAAAGTGGCAGAAACTCTTTTCCTGCACTTCTTGTTTGGCAAGTATATTTGTCAGTGTTGGGATTTGTCTGTGAATGCCTAGAAATTTTTTTTTGTTTTCAAAAAGTGAAACTTAAAACATCACCTATTTCAGTACCATACTACTCCCAGGGAGAGAAATTATTGCTGTTGTGTAGAGGAAGTTTGTAGAATCACAGTGTTACACCTTGGGTTCTGTCTGAAGAGGGGAGGAAAACCTAACGACTCCTGCTTTAAACTCTTCCACTCTCCCTTGAGCTTATAGCATCTCCCTGTGCCCCCAAGTGCAGCTGGGGAGCGAGTCACATCTGTTTGTCTTTCCTTGAGAGCCCTTCTCCCCCATGCTTGGGAAAGGAGCGTCTAGAGGCCTTCACTTACCAGGTCCGCTGACTCCTATACCATAGCTTGGTGCTGATCCTTAGGTGAGCAGGCACATTACCTACGCCAACAAGAAAGGAAGACCAGGGTAGGAAAAAGATCTGCTCCTTGGTGAGCATTTTTCAGACATGCACAGATGTGCATTAACCAATGCTGTGGCCAGAGACCCGTGTGCTAGCAGATCTAGCCTTGTGCTTAAAGTGTCCTGTCAAGGGGTATGTCTCCATCTGTCTCCTGAGGGACCGTCCTGAGAATACATTGCTGGATTATGGACCAGTCAGTTCGTTGGGAACTCCTGTGGCCTTGGTAGCTTAGAAGGCATGTTCCAATTGAATGTGAGCTGCGTGACTTATTTGTGTCAAATCAAAGGGATGTAGGGATGTATTTAGCTTTCTCCTTCCTGAGCCATTAAAATACTACTCTTTGTTCAGTCACCTGCATTATTTCTTGGTATTGCTGTGGAAAATACATAAATAAACACACAAACACACACACACCATCCCACACACATGTCTCTGTCCTCCCCCTTGAGTTCATATTAAAGATAAAACAAATTGGAATAGAGAATCCTTGAGGATATCAAGCACTAAAATAATCGTGAAAGCCTGAAAACCTTACTGTTCTAGCAAAAAACAAAGAAGACAAAGATATATGTTAAATAACAAAAATAGTACTTGTTTGGAAATGTAAATTGTTTTTAATAAAATTGCTTCTTAGCAGGATAAAAGAAAATGCTGAGGCATAGTACAAATGTAATATTTTGCCACATACTCAGATTGATTTACTTTGCTGATAAGAATTACAGATATCGAGTATATAGTAGATGGCTGTGTCACATTTGTTATGTATAATTGTATATAGAAATTACGGCACACACACATACTAATTATGAGACAGTGTATACACTAAATTTAAATCCTAATCACATCTGAGTTTACTGTAGACAAAACAATTTGCTAGCCGTCTTTTGGACTGAACCTTTATTTTTGGTTAAGAAAAATACATGAAAGTCAGCCTAGTGCAATTTGAAAAGGAATTGTGCATATTTAATTGGAAGTGTCTGATAGAAAATTCACAGTGTGCTGGACTTGTAAGCCACAGAGCTAAACAAGAGCAGGTGCTTCTCTTCTGTTCCTGCTCTATGTTTTAGCTATCTGATGAAAGGGGGCAAAATATGAGTTTCTTTCCCCACCACTCTGTAGCTCACCTTTCTACAGTGTCTTTGAAATACTTGTTTCTCAATCTTTGCTTCAAATCTTTGTTAATTATTTACATCATAGTTTGCTTCGCTGTCTTTGTCTTTGATGCGTATCTCCCGAAGAAGTTTCTGGGTTGCATTTCCAGAGCGCTGAGTTTTCTCCTCATGTGCTGATGCTGATAAGCAGGCACAGTAGCTCCTGAAAGCTGTACTAATTTGTGTGTCGCCACTTTGTGTCATTTTGATTTTTTCCTAAATGCTGCGGGCCACTTCAGTGGCCTGACTTTTTAACCCTGAGTCTGTGCTCCCATTAAAGAAGCTACTGTATACATGGGCTCATAAGTACATGTTTTCCAATTCTAGATGGCTTTGTGCATGATGCCAGAGCAGAGATCTGATTGCTTGTTTCTTTTCAGCAGCAGCAGCAACAGCAACAGCAGCAGCAGCAGCAACCACCGGCCCCTCCGCAGCCGCAGCCGCAGCCGCAGCCGCAGGCACAGGCGGGCCCCCGGCTCCCCCCACGGCAGCCCACCGTGGCCTCCCCCGCGGAGTCAGATGAGGAGAACCGACAGAAGTCCCGGCCACGAACCAAAATTTCAGTGGAAGCCCTGGGCATCCTCCAGAGCTTCATCCAAGATGTGGGCCTGTACCCAGACGAGGAAGCTATCCAGACTCTGTCAGCCCAGCTCGACCTCCCCAAGTACACCATCATCAAGTTCTTCCAGAACCAGCGGTACTATCTCAAGCACCATGGCAAACTGAAGGACAACTCCGGGCTGGAAGTGGATGTGGCAGAATATAAAGAAGAGGAGTTGCTTAAGGATTTAGAAGAGAGCGTCCTAGATAAAAATGCTAACACCCTTTTTTCAGTGAAACTAGAGGAAGAGCTCTCGGTGGAAGGAAACACAGACATTGATGCTGATTTGAAAGACTGAGATAAAAGTATTATTTTCATTCAACAGTGCCACTGGTATTTACTAATAAAATGAAAGTCCACCTTGTATTTGTTCAAACTATCTTTGTTGTTCATGGTTTGGCCAATGAATCTTCAGAAACTTGCACAAACAGAACAGCTGGGAAAGGATAGTACAGACTGCACTAAATGTTTTACTCTGTCTTATAAACTGGTTGGCAGTCCCAGGTGAAGCAGCGAGGATTGTTTGGTATTAAAGTTTGTGTTCAAGGGGTACAAGGTGTGTACCCCATAAGCATGATACCAGAGATTTTTTTTTTAAATATTCTGGAGCCTCAAATAAGCATTATAACTTCTGTGATTATCATTTCCTGTCCTTCAATTATTTCTGTAACACTTCACACTGACCTTTAAAAACTCGCCCCTTATTTTAAAAAAGAAAAAAAAGAGTTTGTTACTCTATTGTATGTTACAAAAGAACTGTAGACTGTGGAATGCAGTTTAAAGATGACATATGCCAACAAATGCCTTGTATTATATGGCACTGCCGGAAGTCAAATTTGTTTTTATTTTGGGAATAAAGGTTCACTGTCATTTTTTTTCGTTCTCATTGTTATGTGATTTTTTTTAAAGAAAAAAAAGGAAAAAATGTGAAACACAGTTTAGTCCTCATTATTTATTTGTAGATTCTGCAGCGTCATGTTGTAATTAATTTTTTGGAAGTTTCCGTTAAATGCAATATTGCTTCTCTTGTTACCATACTGATTCTTTTCTATTTATAAATGTATTTTGATGGGCAGTAAAACAAAGTGTCTTAAAAGTTTTAAATAGAGAAAATGTGCTTTACACAGTTGCCTATAAAAAGTGCTCTATGTTATCCAAGCAATTCATACTGTAAGCTTCACTCTTATTGTTGTATGCAATTTTTACTATCATGCAAATAAGCTTAGGTAAATAAACTAATAGATCACCTTAGAAAATTATGCAATTAATGTGAAAATAATCGATGTTTGCAACGTGTCTTCCTTTGGTTTACAATCAATTTTAAAGCTACATCTGTATAAAATTTCTGTATAAAGGTGTATTTCTTTTTTATGAGTTTATGGCTATGAAAACACCAGCTATTTTGTTACAGCTGGTTGTTTTTATAAGTGTACCACAATTTTCTTTCTGCAGAAATGTTCTGAATAGGAGTGGTTATTGACTGTAACTACACAATTAAAACTGTTTGTATGGTATGACATAGTAGGGTTTGTCTGCTTATGTGAAGTAACTGACCCAAGTCAAAGGGTGGCCCTCATTTAGGTGCATGTTAATACTTGAAGCTATTTTACTGCTTTTAAAAAGAACAACTGAAAAGTCACTTGGAATACTGTAAATTTAAATCACAAACACATGCTCATTTTTTAATAGGTGTGAAATTTTACAGTGATAACTTGTTTGGGGGTAACATTTTGCTTAATAAACAGAGATAGGACAATGAAGACTCCAACAAAAGCATAAATCTAGTCTTCAGTAGTTACTTAGAAATGGTTCATCTGCATTTATTTCACAATCCTTCAAGTATGGCAACACTTCCGTAAGCTAAGGCGTATTTTAAAGGTCATTAAATAGTAACAAAATAGGTGGGAAATGTGTGTTAAAACCTTTTAGGGAGCATTGTTTTTCTTTTAAGAAGAGAAAGTAACTCAGTTCACTGCATATGTCATAACTATAAGAACTACATGAAGAAAATAACAGCTGGAATTTCATCACAGTCTTTAAAATTCTTGCGAGGTAAACATCACAAAGGATTTGGGCCAGTGGTGCAGTTCTTGATGTTTCTCATTTGTGTTTTCTCTCTACCTTTCCTTCCTCGTCCCGCAGCTCCCTCGGTGGTAGGGGTGTCTGGATTCTGGAGACCTGGATGGGGTTCTGCAGTTGCCCTTTCTTGTTTTGCACCATTTCCACAGGCCCCTGTGAGCTCGTTAGTATGTAAGTGGGCACCTTTAACATTGAGCTTTTACTTAGGAAGCTCAAATTGGATCATTGAGAACTCTCAATAAATCTTTAAAATTTCATTTACTTTTGAAGCACAGCTCAGCTACACTGAAGGCCGCTGGTTTGTTGCAAACTACTTGGATCCTTTTTATGAGAAAACTGTAAAATTTTTTTGCTAGAGTTCAGAAGAGTAATCTTTTGAGCCAAAGGAATTTGAATTAAGAAAATAGCAACCAAATTTCACATTAAACTAGAATGCATCTTCTTTCCCCTAAATTCAAGAGAAGAGGCTTAGATTAGCATCAAGTCGAATTGATGTCCACTTGTAACCAGTGCAACATTCAATGTAAGTTATCAAATAGGAAGTTTAATAAATTTTTGGAAGAAATAGGATTGCAAGTACAATTTCACGTTTTTAATAGGCTGAATTCTTTTTGAAATGTTTTCAATGAAATAAAGACATTTTGATTTAAAATTAGCTACTTAGGTAATTTTTTAAGATTTTAAAGTCAGCCAAGTTTTTGCTTACTAGTGTAAAAGTACATGTTAAACAACGATGGTCATGAGCAAGACTGATCAAAATTGAACAGGATTTTCAGGGAAGACAGCAGGTTTCAGAAAACATGTCCAAATGGTCCTTTTCCCCCAGTGTCACTTTTTGGCCTTGCCAACCTTCTTGTTTGTTGCCCATGACTATGGCAAAATCCCTTTAATAAGCTTCATTGTGTCCAGGGATTCTGGAGACTTAAAAGTTGGGCCTATGACATAGTGCTTCGTGCTGTTCAAGACCTTAGCAGAGTCAGGTAGTTTACGGGTAATATGCAACCTTGTGCATCTGAATCTGTCATGGATTCCTTCACTCAGCACTTTGCCACTAATTTGTATTACACTCTGTGGCCATATAATACTTGCACATTATGCAAAAAATAATGTTGGTAGTATCTTCTTGCCACACAATATGCAGAGTTGACACATAACCTTTGAAAACCAAGGTTACTAATACGTGTGCCCTAGCTGTGTGGCACTTGATAACAAAGGCTGTACATATTATATATAAGATGTGTATTGAGTAGCATTTAGTCTTCAGGATTTCTGAGCTTGAATAGTTTTCTTTTCCTAAGTAGTAGTAACTGTACTTAACTGTGTTTACTTAAATACATAGCTTGAGTAGAAAACATTTAAATGGATCAGTAAAAATGAGAACCCCATACATTCCATTATAAATCCTGCACTATTACCTATTGTTAACATCTGGCTGATATTAAGGTCCTTGATTGTCACAATATTTTTAATAAATGAGATATTCTGAACTGCCTGGTGATATTTTCGAAGAGAGCAATTAAAATGTGTACACCATATAATAATAGTGACAAAAGTGGGACTATTGTGTTAAGGCAAGCCAGAAATTTGCATGATAGTGTGGAGACCAACAGAAGTCCAAAGTGTTAGTCATCTAAAATACAAGTATTGACAATAGAATCTACCTTACAAATATATATATTTTTTACTCTTTAAGGGGAAATGTGGACTGGATGTTTCTTCTGAGGCAATTCTTTTAATGTAAATAATAAGTAGTTGCATGTCTTCACAAAAGCCAAACTACAATCTATTATGCACATTTTGATAAAATATAAAATATCCTTATTAAATGTGGAAGGTGAATGTTTAGAGTACTATTCCTGTTCAACCATAACATGTTAATAAAAACATCTTCGAATCTAAATGTCTAAAAGAAGATCAACATTTTTAAGCCTTTCTTACATTACCCTACTCATCTGGAACACATATATATTCCAAACTCAGCTTTATCAAATGAAAGCTCGCTCTCAAAATTCAGTCACAGTTCCTTGCCTTGGACCCTTGCTTTGGGGTAAGGCACCATCTTTCAGTTACTTTCAGCTGCTTAGGGACCTACCATGCTCAAAGTACTGACTTTAACTGAAGGTGTGGTTGATGAAGCAATGCAGTAGAGCAGTATATTGATTGCCTTGCAAAATAAACATTTTCAGAGCAACTCTAAAGTGACATTTTGCCCAAAGTTAAATGTTGAGTATTATTTTACTATTGAATCATAAATGTATTCAAATGTTTTCATTAGTCACTGAGTTTTAGTTCACACCTTTACACCTTCAAAAAAAGAATGATGTCCCACATGCTGCTCTAATGTTCCACTCATGAAAGAACCAATTGTATTTGCTTAATGAGAATGCTGGAGAAAGTTTTGAGTATTTAAACATGTCTACTAATTCACTGCGTATGCAGTAATTGATACAAATGAGCATTTGTCTGGAGTGCAAACCTGTTGGGCAGCATCTCTGTGGAAACAAGTTTCATGGATTCCACTTTTGTTTCTAGTTTTAATTCCTAAGTATAGTATTTGTCGTTGGCCTACCTAGTACAAAGAGGGTCCTAACTTCTGAGGCCCGTTCCTAGCACTGTCTCCTTAACATGTTTAAATAATAATAATAGCAACATTTATATGGTGCTTTATTTTACCCTGCTTAAAGCTCTCCTTTGTAGTATGAGGTGTTTAAGGCAGACACTGAAATTCTTAACTTCAAAGACAAGGAAAGAGAAATTCAAATAGGTTAACTGGTTTGTTCAGCAGTTAAATGACCACATTATTATCAATCCAATCTTCTATCTCAAATGTTTGTCTACTTTCTCCTTAGTAAAAGGTTTCTCAAATAAAGAACTAATTGTAACTCAAAATTTTCCTAATATGGACAGGTTGATCATTAAGTAATTGAAATCAAGTTCCATTCTAAAATGTTAATCCTAAAATTCTGCTGTCCTAGTATAATTTACATCTGTCAAGTATGTTTTATAAGCAAACCTTACTATGGAAATATTCAAATGGACATAAAAATGTAGACAATAATAACTCCCATGATGCATCCCCCACTGTAATCATTGTAACATTTTTCAGTTAATAAACTGTGTAAAACTTTTAAAATTAAGATGAAGCCAATACACACTCAACTGTTCAGTGCTTTTTGCCTCCAATAATATGTTGTCATCATAGTTTTGCAAAGTAATGAGATTTCTGATTTCTAGAGTAAACATTAGAACTTGAAGTTGTTTCTCAGAACAGTTTTCAAAAAGCCAAGTTTTAGAAGCAAAACCTGTGAGGATTGCACAAATATTTGTCACACAAAAAGAGACAAGCCAGCCTCTCTTTATTTATAAACAATACATGCTTTCATATCATTGTTGAAACTAAAGTACATAATTTTCAGTTATGCATAATAAAATATGTAATTAAGCAACATTCCATGGTGGATTAAAGAATTAAAAGCTTCAGGTGCAGAAAAGAATTTGTTGGCATTTTCTTTTTCAAGGTGGTATTTTGAGGTGTTACTTTTCATTTTCCTTTGACATCTTATACACAAATAAATAGACAGAAACAGGTGAGAAGCAAAGAAAATGAAAAATTGGCTTAAATACAATAGACCTCAAAAACACAGGGAGAATATCTGCAACATGCTCAAGAACACTAAATTAAAAAGGACCAAAATCTTTGCCTAGGGAGAAAAAAATTTAAATGGAGTATTGTGTGTCAAGAAATAGAAATAACATAATAAAAAGTTAACTGAGTTTGGTTACTTATATATTTCAAACTATATTAAATTAATTTATATTCTAGTATAGTCTAGTAAGCTTATTTGTCAACTGAAGAAATTATTAATTCTTTGCAATAGTGAAGTTAATAGAGGCATTTGGCATCAATCCTACCTTTTAAAGGGTAACACATCAAGTAAAATTAAACCACTCAAGTGTCAGAAGGTGTCAGGATTATTCTCAAAAAAATTTATCCTACTGATCTTCTAAGAAGCAAATAACATTAGATGAAAGTCTGCACTTAACATCAGTAGGACTTTCTAGTATCTAAAATTTTTCATGTAATGTTTAAACTACAAGTAATAACCATGTAACTTCAAGGAAATTCACTATCATGAGATCCTATATAATTAGTGGTACCAGCAAAAAATTATTGAAGTATAATTGATATATGATAAACTAAAGTGTACAATTTGATGTTTTAACATGTATGTCAAAAACACAACATCTGTATACACACAGACATTGGAAATGTAAGGAGCATATCTATCATCCTGGCAATAGTTTCCTTATGCCCTAGTGTAATAAATCCTCCCTTTCACCCCTTCATCCATCACCAACCCCAAAAAACCACTAATCTATGTATATTTTTTATTCTAGACTAGTTTGTACATTGTAGGATTTTATATGAATATAATCATTCAGAATATACTACTCACTCTTGTTAGGCTTTTTTCACTCAGCATAACCAGCATAATATTCACTCTTGTTCATTCCGGTTTATTGTTGAAGAATTGTCTAACTCATTTCCTTTGTCCCCAGGATAAGGGAAGAGAGGTTTATTTTGGTGCACACTTCGTAGAGATTTCAGTCCATAGATGGCTGGCCCCCAAGGCAGGATGGCATGGCAGAGGGGCATCCTGGAGAAGATATCATTCCTCTTAACCGTAGTAGGGAAGCAAAGGCTGAAGGAAGGAACAGGGAAGGGAGACGGGCCCTGCCAGGCTGTACCTGCAGTGACTTTCCTCTTCCAGCTAGAACTGACCATCACACAGCAAGTCAGCTATGATATCCTTGTAATCTCATCCCCTCCCAAAGCCCCACCTATCATCACATGGAGTCTTTTTTTGCAGCGCCGGGAGGCATCTGGGAGAATAGGAATATTCTTCTTTATGGATGTGTTGCACTTTGCCTATCCACTAAGTGTCTGATATATATTTTAGGTTTTTTTTTTATTCTGAGGCTATTACAAATAAAAATATTATGAAGATTTATATTCAAGCCTTTGAATGGTCAATATGCTTACATTTCTCTTGGACAAATTCCTAGGAGGAATTCCAAGGTCTATTATATGACAGATGCATGTTTAATTTCTTAAGAAAGTGATAGACTTTCTCAAAGTGGTTTTTTTTTTTTTTGTCTTTTTATCGGTACCAGAGATCGAACTCACGACTGCCTGCTTGCAAGGCAGGGGCTTATGCCGCTGAGCTAAATCCCCAGCCCCTTGCTCTACAATCTTACCAATACAGTGATATCTCAGTTCACGAACTTAATTTGTTCCACTATTCTGGAAAAGATGGCCACATTGGCGTTTGTGCAGGAAACATGGCTACAGTAATGTTTGTCACCTGAAAACAAACACAAAATTTTGCCAAACACTTCTGTTTGTGAATTAAATCATTTGCAAATAAAAGCATTTGTGAATCAAGGTACCACTTTACTTGATATGGTCAGTCTTTTTAGTTTGAAACATTCTTCTAAGTATGTAGTGATTTCATTCTAATTCTAATTTGCATTTCTCTGGTGCATTACATTTCTTTCATTGAATATATTTTCCATAAACCTGCTATCCATATACCTTTTGTACCTGTTGTTTCGTCTCTTACTAGATTTTTTCATATTATTGTTTCCAGAGTCCTCTATTTTGTTTTGTTGCTCTCTTTACCTTTTCAATATCTTGACTACTATAGCTTTATAATAATGTCTTAAACTTAAGTAGTCTAAGTTTTCTAAATTTCTTCTTTAAACTGTCTCTGCATATTTTCATCTCCCTTTTAATTTCAGATTTAACTTTTCAATTTCTACAAAAAAAATTTTCGCTAGATTTTGATGAATTCCAGAGATCATTTTGGAGGAAATTGTCATGTTAACAACATAAATGCTCTCTATACATTATATTTTTCAGAAGAGTTGGAAAATACATTAACCAGAAAACTGTCATTCACAAGTCTATGTTTTACTTGATGTGTGTAAAGAAACTAATTCACTCACTTCTACTGATTTCCTTGGCCTAATGGAGAGCAGAAGATTGAAGACCCTACATCCTATACCCTGTTGCTCAACAGTAAATATTCTATAAATTTAGAAAGTTATTGCTAGAAACTTCACCCCTTTCTGATAAACTCTAGCAGCATTAATATTCTTGGCAAAACTATTTTGTACTAATTGCCATATCCATCTGCTCCGTGAGATTGATTAGATGGTGATAGCATTTGTACTCCTGCAATCAGTGCTTCCCAGCCCAGCAGAAAGCTGGAGCGCTCGTTCCATCCTGAAGAGGGTGCACGGCGACAAATGCAAGCCTTTCCTCAGAGGATTTGAGATTAAACTGCACTTGGCCTGATGGCCCTTTGGGAAATAATTCAGTCTACAGAGAGTTCTGTCAGAGTAAACCAAGATCCTAATACTTAAATGATTCCTTCCTCTACAGAGAACCTCCAATATTTCAGAAAAGCTTTCTTTCTGCAAA